ATAAGACATCACTTGAGATATGGGTAGGCATAAAAATGCTTTTATAAGGTTAAATTTTAAAACCAGGAGATAAAAATCACAAATTGTACCTTAGCAAGGTAAAAGGATAGACATAGGAAGACAAGAAGGCAAGAAAAGAAAGGCTCTGAATCTAGAATCAAGATACAGTCAAGTTCAAACTTGGCTACTATTTACTGCCTGCATGACCTGAGTCTGAAATTTGTTTCCTCATCAGTAAAACAGGAATATATATACCACAGCATTATTAAATGTAGCATATAGATGTTTAATTACATAGCCAATATTTAATTAACATCAATGTTACTTCCTTTTCCTTTAATACTGAAAACTAAGTAACAGTGCCAAGTTTAAGGGTGACTTCCCTTGCTTCATTTTCCAAACTGCAGAAAATACTTTTTAAGCATAAATGAAACTTCTAGTATTTCATACTCACACCCCTCCTTATGTGAACTTAAAATTACTTTTACTGTCTTTTACAACTGTTAAAAATTCTAATTTGTTTACATTTGTGATTTTTCTAAATCTAGCCCCCCCAAAATAACAAATTTCAGACTCAGATCATACAGGCAGTAAATAGCAGCCAAGTTTGAACCTGACTATATCTTGATTCTAGATTCAAGGCCTTTCTTTTCTTGCCTTCTCATCTTCCTATATGTCTATCCTTTTACCATGTTATTGTACAATTTGTAATTTTTGTCTCCTGGTTTTAAAACTTAATCGTATAAAAGCATTTTTATGCCTACCCATGTCTGATCTAATGTCTTTGTGATGGGGAGATGGACAGTAGAAAAAAAAATTAAAGGGGGAAAAAAGATAACTAATACTATGCCAGTACAGACATACAAAAAAGAAAACAAACAAAAAGTGTAGAGAAGAAAACAGCAAAAGTTAATGCTGTGTTTGAAGAAATTCCCCTGAGACAATCCAATGAAAAAATTACATTCTCCTACTCAATCTAGCTACAATGACAGCCACTCCTCACTTGTATCTAGGGTTTATATGTGTGTTACATACAGATACACACAGACAAGTCACTCTCTTTACTAATGGGAACCACCACACTCATGCACAAAAATTTAAAGGTAAATGAAGAAACTTAGGATGTTGTAACAAAGACAAACACCTGGTTAAGAAATAACTTCCACTAAAATGTACTCATTCCCCAGTACATCTTCTCATCAGCTTGCAATCAAAAAAAAAAAAATGGAATGCACTGCTGAAATATTTAACCTGGTTACAGGATTTGTTCTAGAATCAGAGAAGGCACACTTTGATGCCTATCTCTCACTATCTTTATAATAACCCCATCTTTAGAGACACGGCCTAAAAATGGAATATTAGCAAAAGCATACAATTTCAAATAGGTACAGATGGAAATTTAAGCTATTTTTTAAAAGAATAAACAATATTAATAACTATTATTATTATTTTAACAGCTAATACTTACTCAGCATTCATTATGTACCAGAAAGCTAAGGACTTTTCATGAATTCTGAAATTAGAACCCTAAACCTCTACAAAAATAGTATTATGGTTAAATCCACTTGCCCAGTGCTCACACTGCTAAATTTGAACACTGCCAATTTTACTTCAAGGCTCCCACCTTATCCCTTACTGTCTCTTTATACATGCATAAAGACAAAGGCCGAGTGTGATTCTATATGAATATGTATATACGTGTGCATGTGCGTGTGCGTGTGTGTGTGTGTGTGTGTATAAAATATTCAATATGTTGGTAGTAAGCAAAGACAATTTCAACTCAAGGCTTTTATCTATCTTCACAAACTATTCAACAATAAATTGGGAATCACCCTTTCTCCTCAACAAATGGTACTCTGAAAATACATGTTACACTTAATATCTTCCTCAAGAAACTAATACGTGTGCATGTATACAATAAGCTTCTAAGTAAAATAAACTCCATGAAGAAAGGACTAAAATATTAATTTTTAAAAATTAAATATTGATAGGATATGTGTAAGCAGGCTTTATAAATTGTGCTTTAATCCTAACACTTTATTAGGTGTTTTTTTACTTTCACATGTCTGCTTGGCTCTTAACACTTATGCTTCTACAACTTATACACTTCACAGGGTTGGGGTATAGCTAAGTGATAGAATGAGTGCCTGGCATGCCCAAGGTCTTCAGTTCATTCCCCAGCATCAGTTTTTACGGCACTGTATTTTCAACTTATACAAATACACATACTGAAAAACTTACTACGATAAATCTGTAACACTCTAACCAACTTCATTTTCAAACTTCATGGAACAAATCATTTATTTATACTTTCATTACAAAATCACAGATCCAAGAATTCTAAATGATATGGGAAGGCTACAACCGAAGAGGTAGACAAAGATTAGTATAAGAGTGAAAAGGAAATTTCTTAAAAAAAAGCTAACCTTAATCCAGTCTCACTTTCCCCCACCCAAAAGTTTGCTCTGCTACTACTTCTACCCATCAGGCTCCTTGACCTTTGCTTTTCTCCTCTTGGAAGTTTATCTCACAATTGTCAAAGTGTTTATTCTAAACTTAAAAATACAGAAACATACTAACTCCATAACTACATGAGCTTTCAGTAAGTTCATAAAGGAAATAACTCCACAGTTTAACTATGAGAATAAAAAATCTGAGAAAAAATTTAATAGTGGTATAATTGACGCCTGAGAGATGAGAAAATTACTTTTTCATCTTTCTGAAGATGAATTGAATTTTGTGTTCCATTATCTTCTAAGTCTCATATAGTATTTAAAATAAGGAAAAGGACAAATACATGAGCCAACCAGCAGGGTGAGCTAGAACTAGTATCATTTTTTTAAAACTCAATGGTATAGTTTACACTATTAAAAGCAGCTATCTCCCACTAATAAATCTGAATCAAAAACACCACCTTTTGAGCTACTTCAAAGCTACAACTCATGATTTTGTTCAATATTAAGACTCTCCTTGTACAAAACACATTCTCTATACCAGAGCCATTAAATTTAAAAATACTGAGTTCATTTGAATATTTACCTAAATTATTATAGTACCCACCATTCATCCCCATGTTTTATTTCACGAGGTTATCATTTCAAAGACACTTGAAAACAGTTTTTTTTTAAAGGCCTGCATAACGGGTTTTCTACAAATTAGGGTTGGATAATTCAACATGCTAGTTTTTGTTTGCTGCAAACTACAACTGCCTTATTGACAGAAAAGCAGTTCTGAGATGCTATTAAAAGAATGCTGAGAGAAATGCATTCCCACAAGACTAAGATCCACTCTTTTTCTCCCAGTCACATGTGCAGAAAAGAAAATAACCCTAAACAACTAATAGTGTGTTTAGGATGACAGAAGTACCTGAACTTTCTCTAAATCACATCATCTTGACACTTTCCTTGAGTCTTTTCCCTTTTTGCTGCCCATTACATTCTCAGTTCAACCAAAACTCTACCTCCCAAGAAACTCCAACACAAACTAAACCTGGAAAGCATTTAAAGTTTACAGTTATAGACCCACTTTATAATTACAAATAATCTAAAAGTATAACCCTAATTATCACAAGACTAATATGCAATTTATTTATTTATTTTGAGGCAGAGCCTCCCTAAATTGCTCAGGCTGTCCCTGAACTTGCATTCCTCCAGTCTCAGCCTCTTGGGCCACTGGGATTATTGGTGTGTGCCACCCCTGGCCCAAGACTACCTTGCAATTAAATCCATTCACATAGTGTTGAAAATTATGAAATACCTTATTAACTTTCTTATGAAAAAAAAATAATTTAAAAGCTCATAAATGAACTGTAAAAGAGTCAAAACAATTTAACTGTGTTTGTCAAATCTGGCATCCAAAAAGTTAAAGATCACTGTGGGATTCACCACAAATGATTTTACGACTTGTTGAATTTCCTCACAGCCCTGACAGAGAGATACACTACTCAGCAGCAACAGGAGCAGCAGTACTCTTAAAAGTTGTTTTAAAAAGAGTGTGAGTGGCATGTTCACTTATCGTATCAAAAGCATTGTTGTTTTTAGCATCTCTCATTTCTTAGGTAATAATGGAAGTTATCTCAAACTTTCCAAGAAACTTGTTGAATTTTTAAATTTCTGGGTCAAGTATGCTTTCAGAAAATCTCAATATTCATAACCAACACTGCTCTGAAATTTCTGTATTTTGTATCTGGATTTCACTGAAAGTCACTTTATAAACAAAGTCACCTAACACATAACATTAAATTTAACTTACTGTCACAGAAGTTCTCGTTAATGTGATAGCATTTAATTAACAAGTACTCTCAATAATTCTCCCTTGTTGAGTCTTTTAACCATTATTTGCAGATATTCACCTTCTCATCCAAGCAATGTGACAAATGAAAACAGCAATGCAACAGAAGTTGAAAGATTGATTTTTCATTATGCAACTAATTTAATTATCCTCAGATATTGTAAGAAAGGGGGTATGCATACTGGTTCTTTGAGATTCCCTCACTGTAAAACTATATAATCTAGGAATACATTTTCTAATGTTAATAATATATCTTCTATTCATTAATACAGTTAAGATTACACTCTACTAGAAAAACTATGAAAGAGAAAATAGATATCTCAAAAAAAAAGAAAATTAAAGTTTTAAGGAATGTTGAAAAGTTTAAATTTCATCTTGAATACAAATTTAAATTAGTGACCTAAATGCGTTTATCTATACCTTCAAGTGATTACTTTGTTAATGGCAAAGACAAAATCTGTACTTCAATATTGAAATCTGTACTTCACTATTAGTTTATTCAAATATATGATTTGTTATTATAACTTATTATAATAAATTAGAAATCTAAAACTTATACAGCCATGATTTTAATAGCAATATATACCGCTGCGTTAATACTAGTTGGCAGTCACGTTTCACCTATATCTAAGTTAAATTATAAAAATAATTTTTTCTTACCAAACCTACCAAATACGATATTGCAGATGTCAAGTTCCCTTGATACTTACACATGGCACTGAAGGCAAAGAGCCGATTTCCTTTCTTTGAGGAACTTTAGATGTCTATTTTTTTGAAATGCTTTCCTTCTTGTGGGACCAAATAATGTAACTAACGTAAGCTACTGCAGAGATGTAATATATGATTAAGGCAAATCTATATCATCACCCAGATGCACCAAGCTTGGCATTAATCAGGAAAGGCCAAAATAGAAGACAGTGTTTGGGTATCTCTGTACAAAGTATTAACTTGTATACAAAACGGGACCCTCATTTCAGGCCCCAAGTTATGTGTATCCCCTCGTTGAGTTTACTGATCCCACAAAATCTGAAGTCTAAACATAAAAGTTTTATAACTACTATACTTAAGTCAATATTACTTAAAACAGTTCAAGAAAACTTTTCCACTAATGTTGCTAAACCATGGATGGATCCCAACACGAGAGTCGTCTGTGGAAGTCTGGTAACAAGAAACCTTTAGCTCCACCACCTAAGTTTCCAATCACTGAGAAGGGTCTGGGGCAACTCATCTTCAGGTTCACGGGAGAAGTGGAGCACACCTGCTTTCCTCTGGCAGAGATTAAGCTCCCAGGGACACAAAGGCCAGGGAATCAGACCTGGAGAGGCAAAAAGCTTTAGCTGGACACCCACCGAGCCCCTGGCAACCCAAACACTTCGAGCGATTTACCTCTTGCTGTTACTTCCCAGGCACCTAGCGGCACAAGATGTTGCAGAACGGGAGGAGGGGAGAGCTATGCGGTCCAGTCCCAAGCCAGGGGAGGGGTGTGTACAATTAACGCCAGAGCCGGCGCCTCTGGCCGGGACGAAGCAGCCTCGCGGAGAGGGGCTGATGACTGCTCTCGGACCGCCCCGTTACTCAGTGCATTGCAATGGCGACTGCCAGGCTCCTCAAGCCGCCTGATCTCAGCCCCTTCCCCCTACTGCTCACTGGCTGCTCGGCTTCATGTGACTAAACAAAACCCCCAAGTCTAGTGCCCAGCTCAGCCCCTTTGTGTCCGCTACCGGATTCTCCGACGCTGCAGCGGAAAGGCCCCCCCGCCCCCTCCGAGTCCCGCCCAGCGGCGGCGGCCGCCGCTCACCTCAGGCTCCGCGGCCCCCCGCGGCCGCTGCGGCCGCCGCCTCCCAGAACCCGGGGCCCGGGCTCCTTGTGTAGCACCAACTCCGCCTCCTCGGCCGCCGCCGCCATCTTAGCCTGTGCGGCAAAATGCGTCCTTTTGGATGGTTGGGACCCAGCCTAGGGCGTAGCTCCCCGGGCCCGAGCGCCGGAGGCCGGGTCCCCCAACTTCTTCCGCCACCCTCAGTCCCGCCGCTGCCACAGCCCTGAGGCCCGAAACCCACTCGGGTCCTAGCTAATCCGACCAAATAACCCCTGAAACTCACAGTTTGGTGCCGTGTGCGTCAAACCGGGGCGACGTTGGGAGCGCGCGGCGTCCCCGCGTCACACGCCGCTCAGTACGCTACTCGGCTCCAACGGCCCCCCTCCGCTCCCCGCTTTTCGCCTCCGGCCCCGGTTCCCACGGCGCAGGCGCGCGGCTTTCCCGCCTCTGCCCGCCGCGGGCCGCGGGGGTGGCCAGCGAGGAGCTCCTGGGCAGCTTCGGCTGGTGGAGTGTCTGGGCCAATTAGACAAATGGGGGCAGCAGAAACAGTGCACCACTGTTCTCGGGTGCCAGAAACCAAACAAGGTCACCTCCCCCAGCGCTGACCTAATCACTCCTAAGGAGGTTCCCGCCCCAAAGTAGGCACGCTCCAAATATGGTGGTGCCCAAACTCTGCAAGACCCAAACACTAGGCATGCCTAGGCCCTTTAAGGTGGAACAGGCCCATGTTTGGTTTCCACAACCACTAATGAGCCAGAATCCCCTTTATTTTACTGTTGTTGAGGAAAACAACTAAAGAACGCACTATTTGGCAGTCATAACTGTGGAGTAATGGCAGAGGAAGGTTTTGAGATCTTCAGGGGTCCAATTGATTGATGCATGATGGCTATGCAAAGCATCAAGTGTGCCATGTCAATCACCAGGACAGCCTACCCTAAAAGATGTCCTGGGTTTGGTTCAGCTTGCCTCTTTGAGGGTGCTTTCTACATTACCGTGTCATGGTTCTCCAAACTGAAGTTACATAAAAAGCATCTAGGTGCTAGTTAACCCTCTGGAAGAATCAGTAGATCCCCAGAGGGTTCTATAAATTTTCCTTTATAGCAAACATTAGCCTCAGATTCTGAAACGCTGATGGGGGATTTTGGTTTTGACATGAGCAAGCAAGGAGTTGCCAACTTTTAAGATGAAGCAAAAGTGCCTAAGAAATCTGCTTGTCCTGCCTTAAATTCTTTGACTTCTCTGAACCTGTTTCCTCACCAAATAAATAAATAAATTTTTTAAAAATTTAGTTCAGCAGTTATGATAAACTATGCTCTTCTAAACCCTCAAGATGTTATTGACATTCAGAGAAATATTGCATTTACTTAACAAGAATGAAAAACTCTTTCCTATGGATTGAAAATTAAGCAAACAGATTTCAAACAAAGATGTTGACAACATTAATTTCTTCATTAGTTAAAAATAATAGCTCACACTGTACCAGGCATTTTTCTTACTTGTTCAATTTTATTACAACCTAATAAGGCAAAAAGGTTAGGTAATTTTCTTAAAGACTCCAAGCTCTCTGGGCTTTTCCAAAATGCAAGTTTTCCTTCTTCATTTACACTAAGGTGCAAACAATAAAATATAAATCTGTGTATAATTTTAGCCAATTGATTAGGGGATACCCTTTGGATAATTTCATTTGCAGAATCCATTAAAACTGGACATTCTAGTTTACTATTGGACTTACAACAAATAAAAATGTTACACACTACGAGAATTTTCACATTATAACACTACCAAAGTCGTAGTGATATACCAAAATATTTAAAAACATTAAAAGGAAATTGTATTTGAGAATGAAAATAAAATGTGAAAAACTGCTAGACCCTGGGAGAAAATTTGCAATGACATCTACTTACTGTGACTAAAATGATGCTCTGATGAATATACCCGGTGAATAATCTTTTTTAAAAAGGAGAAGCAAGACCTGGCTATTATTAATATATTAAAATCTGACAATATTAGCAAAGTTTGTGAATCCATTAATTATTTCAATGAATGAAATTTCCCAATAAAATATATAAAGTAAGCTATGATCTCAGAAAAATCAAGTCAGTTCTTAAAAAAAAGATTAAATGCTTCTTAATTCCAGGCCAAAAAAAAAGAAATAAACATTAATATATTATCCTAATAATTAAGTCAAATTAAGTTTTGAGTTTTGCCTAACACCATTCTAGTTCTGGAGTCACCTCTGAATACCAAAATCAGAAGGCAAGTCACTTTTGTGGAGTTGCAGTTACTTCAGTATGTTTGCTAATTGAGGTGGGATAGGGAGGATGTTCAGAGTGGGGAAAAAATGAAGTAAACAGAAATTAAGTTTTATATTTGTTTTTGTTCTGCACTGACCCCAGCAAAGAACCTTACTTGTGGCAGTTATACACTAAATAGTTCTATTCAATTCACCCAACATTCACTGATTACTTACATAGAGTTATGTAAGGCACATGCTATACACCAATAGAAAAAAAGAAAAGACAGTTCTGGCAGATGTTCAATTAATATTGCTGGATAAATGAGGAGTTTTTATTGTTCAAAGAAATAACCATTTAAAAAGATACAATCAAAGGGAATGGCAAAAATGAGAAAATAAGTAATAAGGACTTTAAAATCATAGTTGAAACAAACTCACAAAACATGAATCAAAATAAATTTCATATACACATATTTATTAAAACTTTTATATAATATTTAGGAACATATTTACCATTCTGCTAAAAGTAGATGAAAACAGAGTATAGGAGATTGTTCATCAAACAACATGTAGAGGAAGAAAATAGTGGGACATGGAAACTTAACATTAAAATATTTAAGGAATGAGTAGAGAAATTCAAGAAAATAAACAAACAGACAAATGGATAACACACAGATTCAGGAAAGAGAGGAGCATCACAGAAGCCAAGTAAGTAGAACAGCTTTCTACTATAACAAAGAACCCCAACTCTCAATAGTTTAACATAGTTTCATTGCCTAGTCTTGTTATACACAACTGCAATAAGTTGGAAGAGGAGGAAGTAGTTATTCCATCATATGTTGCCATAACACTTATCATTTTTCACTAGTTAACACTCTAGTCATGTGGCCCCACTTAACTTCAGAGGAAGGCTAGAAAATACAGTTTGCTATGTACCCTGGAGAAAAAGGAAATTGGACTGGTAGGCACAAAACAGAGTTTCTGTACACCTCAAGTAAATGTAGCCACGAAGTCATTAGAGATAAGGGTATCTACTGGGCATACAAGATCACTGGTGACCTGCATAAAGTACAAGGTCAATGAAGTGGCTTATCCCAATATAGAAGGTTCAATAGTAAAGCAAAAGGAAAGAAGGGGAAATAGCCACTAAGTCTGATCAACTATGGAAAGTCAGCAAGATTAGGCAACTGGACTTATAAGAGTGAGAAATTAATGCCAAAACTACTGCCCAGGAATTCTTGGCAACTAACCAGCCAGCCTTCTAGTAAAAACCCACCCTCACTAAACCTTCATCAAACTTCCACACACATCAAGCTTGAGAAATGCCTTTGTTGTTTATTTTTTCCAGTGAAAGATTCCAGATGTTCTATAATATTTGGCTGAGATTCATCAAAGGAAAAAAGGCATCTGTAATTTTGGATATGTACTTTATTAAACAAAAAGAATGTAAAATGGCAAGCCAATGTATTTAACAATATGCATTGATTTTCTTTGTAATAGAAAATTGGGGGCTGGGAATGTAGCTCAGTGCTAAAGTGCTTGCCTAGTATGTACAAGGCCCTGGGTTCAATCCCCAGTGGTGCAAAACACAAACCAAAGAAAACTGAGAAACCTAATTGCACAAATGTGTTCCTTAACTATATGGCAATAATTAGAAGTTGCACTTAGAGATCTTTGGTTTAACGATAAGTGAAATTAAATCTCTTCAAAAAGAACATGAAATCTCTATCAAGTACTATTTAAGTTTTTAAAATATGTTGAAAGAAAAAAAATATGTTGAAAGAAGAAAAAGAATGGTAGTTGCAACCTTTAACATATAAATTTAGGAAACATTTAACTATAAAAAAATATAGGTGTAAAAATATAACAAGTTAATATGATGTTTATTTTTTATATCCATTTCTCTTTATATTTCTGGACATCAACATTTTTCTTACAATATTAAATTCTGTCCCAATTACTAATTACTTCACTTTCAATAAAGAATGTCTGAAATGTAGTCTCTACTCAGATGATGAATTTAATCCTTTTCCACAGAATCTGGAAAATATACAGCTATCCTCTGTTCTAATATTCAATGCTTATAACATTGCAGACATTATGTTGGGCCTTTCGAGGATGTGAAGGTAAACAGAATGCTTAGCTTTCAAATGTCTTATGATGGTATAGGTCAAAAGTCTCATGCTCAAACTGCCATTTAAATTTTAAGTTGACAAAGAGGTCAGCTTGTTACTCAACTCATGTCTCACCTGGTACTATAGTTTGGAATGACAATGTGCCCCAAAGGCTCATGTGTTAAAGGTTTAGTCCCTAGCATGGTGTTATTAGGAGATGGTAGAAACTTGAAGAGGTGGGGACCAAAGGAAAGTCTTTCTGATCATTAGGGTTGTTACACCCTTGAAGGAGAATACTAGGATCCTAACCCCTGACCTGCCTCTCCCTTGTTTTTCTGGTCATGAGAGGAGCAGTTGCTCTACCACATGCTCCCTGCCTGATGTGCTGCCCAAAAGCAACAGGGATTACAGGCCTGTACCACCATCTCCAATTCAGGTATTTCCAATAATGAAAAGCTAACCCACCTGGTGATGGTGATGCCACAGAGTCATTTTCCTACAGGATTTGGTTTTTAGCTTTCCAGGTTAAAAATAAGTTTAACCATGGTGGTGCATGACTGTAATCCCAGCAACTGGGGAGGCTGAGGCAGGAGGAGTGCAAGTTCAAAGTTAGTCTCAGCAATTTAGCAAGCCCCTAAGCCCTGTCTCAAAAAAAAAAAAAAAAAAAAGGTTGGGAATGTGATTCAGTGGTTGAGTGTCTCTGGGTTTAATCTCTGGTATCAAAATATAAAAATAAATTTAAAAATAAGTTTTAACTACAGTTGATCAAGCTCAGGTAAACGAAATAATGAAATATATAAAAGGCTAATGGATACATCACATGTTGATATAGTATTGATTCACAGTAAAAATTTTGACTGCCAAACATAATGTAATACTCAGGCAGACTCATTGAAACATTCCCTCCCTGTAGAGAAGAGTGCCAAGAACACCAAATTACTTGCTTGATGAGCATAGAATTAGATGAATATGATTTTTATAGATGGTGTTATGAAACTTTGATAGCAAACTCTGGTCTGCTATTGAGGATGTACCTATAAAAGGAACTTGAACCATTGGTCTGCTGTCACCAGAAAAATAACCTTGATTTTCCTCAAAGATACATAGCCATATATAAACAAAAATATTAATATTTTATAACCCGTGTTTCATCGATTCTGTAACACATTTTTGCGGGGGAAGCAGTG